CCTACATAATTTAATTTACAACATTTAAGCCCTACCTGGGTTTATTTACCTGTATTTATTTTTTAAAATCATACATTATCGCCAAACTTAGCTACTGTAAAACCTAGTACCAAGGTGTGGGTCGACCTCGTTGTCGCAACTTGATCTTATTGTCAGGGCGACTTAGTAGAACACACGTAGTCGTCTGCCATAGTAGTTGTCATGATTCCCAGTATCAGACAGTAGACTTGGTACATTCTCAAACTTCGGACTAGGTGCGTTCTACTAAGTCCCCTTGACAACAAGACCAAGTTGCGACAACGAGGTCAATCCAATTCTATAAATCGAAAGGAGACTGCGACCATACCAGAGACCACAACATCTTGGTCTTAATTCCCCAAGGCTTGTCCTCTTTCGATTTATTTGATCTACAGCTAAATACATATCATTTATAATATAATTTTATTTAAGTACCTTAATCAAGTCCATTTCCTGGACTTTAGGGTCTTTACTCTAGGATTTAATTAAAAATGCTATTTATGTCCTGGCTTCTGTTTACACAAGTTGCGGATTTGAATATGGATGCAAGTTTTATCTTTCCCCAATGATCGCCTTACTATCTTGGGAATAAGATATCAAGCTTTTAATGGATTCTAGTTTTTACTATATTTGATTGCTATTTTATAATTTCTTCTTGCTTTGGATATTTCATTTCATTATTATCTTTATTTGTTACAATACTAGGAGCATTATCGTGCGTCATTCGGACACTTTCTTCCCTATTCGACATCATTTGCTTCAATTGATACTTGGAATTGTGAACAGGCTTTCAAGTCAACAAGTGGGTTTAACATTTTTTATGAGCGCTTAGGGCTTCATAATGGTCTCTAATAGACTATATCTATATACTTTATTTATTTCAAACTTCGTGAATTTTAGTCGTTTGACCCTGTTTTCGCAACTTGGTCATATTGGCAGGAAAACCTAGAGGAACGCACCGTGTCCGGAGTTCATGGTATGCATGATACTTTCAAGAGTCGGACCGTGGACTTGGTACATTCCCAGACGTTCCGCCAGCATCATAGTAGACATTGTCAGTGAGTCTAGCCATTCTTAGCACCAAGCTACAACTCCTAAAATAGACAAGTGAAGTCTATCTCTTGATCAACTATCTGCCAAAACGATGCAGGCCAAACGCCTGGGAATGTACAAAGTCCACGGTCCGACTAGTAATTATCATGCATATTATAACTCGCAACAAGCTGCCTGTTAATGGGACCAAGTTGCAAAAACAAGTTCAAACAACTAATATACATCTACAGGAGACTACGACCAAAATAGCGGTCACAATATCCTGTTCTTAGTATCTTCTTGAATTTTAATTTCTGAACCTGAGTGACGAGTCACTAATTAATCACTTAGATTAATTATATCGGGCCTTTCGACCTACTAAGATGATGAGCGAAATCAATTGTTTTTTCTAATTGTCTCCGTTCTACCTTCTTACTTATCTTCTTTTCTATCCATTCTTAAATCGCAAGTTCTGCACATTATAGCAAACATGGAGATTAATAATTTGGCTGCTTACCTTGCTTGCAGATATCAGAGCTCTTGACAACTTGCATTATAATCTTCGATTTTTCTCGATCCTTTCTTCCTAGATCCCCATCGATCAACGTCGCCTTATCTTGGAAATGTTAGAGACTGTGATGCACTGGGATGAGCGTTGTCGTCGCGAGCTAATTCGACGCCAGTTAGCTGTGATAAGGACACAGTCTAATAGTTCACTCGACAAATTTTCGGCCATCACAGACGATAGCAGCGAATCCAGTCGCCAAATAAACCAATCAAACCTAGAAGTTGCAAAAACATTCGATTCCAATGAGACAAGGAAACCATCTTCAACCCACATCGTTGACCGATCAAAGGTCGTTGGGCAAGCTATACCAAGAGAAATCACTGTTACATCATCGGGAGCAACAGAAATAGCAAAATCTGAGCCATCTTCGTCGCCTTTATTACGAATGACCTCATCCTTGCTCCCTGCTGGAGAGACAGGGCCTATATCCGACCAATTAACCAGCGATTTAACGCCTTTTCCTCCACATTTACCCCCCTCGGGTCCTTCGCCTTCACCCACTTCACATATCCATGTCTCCTCTGCTCCCTCCACCTCGTCTATAAACCAAACTGAACTGGATCGCCGATCCCAGCTCGCTCGTGAGGAGGAACATAAACCCGGAAAGGATGAGACGAGACCTGACTCTCCTTCCGATGGTCGACTTAAGACCGAGTCTAGTGGACATTTAGCTACTGCCTCAGAGACAGAGTCAATAAAGATAGAGCTTTCCGAACCAAAGAATGGCCAGAATCCTGGACAGATGTTGGAAGCTAAAGAGGTGAGGCTTGCATTAATTATCTACTCTTACGATTGACAATGAATTTGCCAGATTTACTTATTTATTT